ATCTCCAGAAAGTCAGTTAAATAGTGTTTCCTCTTAAGAATTCCATGCTGGCATCCCTCAGTTAACCCACCTTTGTGGAAATGACTATTGATTTTGTCCTGAATTTTCAAGGGTAAATTTTCAAACCCATTGTCATTCTTGTCCACACTTTGGGAGGCAACAGCAGTATGTTTTATTGAACATAACTACATACACAGGATGAGAGACATTATCTTATCTGGAGCTTTACATTCCAGGCTCCAGGTCCATGTGACATGGCACCACTATAACATACGTCCTTTCACGCATGCTTGGTAGCTGTTCTTGGAATAAAGGTATAAATCCCCTTACATGACAAGGCTTATAGTTGGTAGAATAACAAGGTGTAGAGCTGGATGAACGCAGCAGGCCAAGCAGCATCAGAGGAGCAGGAAAGCTGACGTTTCGGGTCTGGACCCTTCTTCCCAAAACATCAGCTTTCCTGCTCCTCTGATGCTGCCTGGCCTGCTGTGTTCATCCAGCTCTACACTTTGTTATCTCAGATTCTCCAGCATCGGCAGTTCCTACTATCTCTATAATTGGTAGGTTTGTCTTTGCAGCCTATTTGACCAAGGCTGTGATGTTTGCAATTCTCCAGTCCTTTGGCAGCACTTGTCAATCTAAGATGGAGGAATGATGACCAGTGCCTCTGCAATGTTCACTCTCACTTTCCACAGTATGCTTGAATGCATCTCGTCTAGTGATCTGGTGCATTATCCACTTTGAGTACAAACAGCCTATTTAATATGGCTTCCTTAACAATTTTAAACCTTTTCAATGGTGACATTATCTCCTGTTTCTCCAATGGCCTAGATAGCATCTTCTTTGGGAAAGAATTTAACACCTTAGCCGAGCTCTTTGGCTTCATGTGTAAATCCCCTTTTAGGTTCACAATTTGTCCTACTTCCACTTTGAACAACCTTTACTATTTATTTGCCTAAATATTTGCTGACAGTATCTTACCATACACAGGTTTTACTTCTTTTATTTACTTTTCACCTTCCCTCTTAACCTTATGTAGTCGGCCTGATTCTCAACTGTATTTTCTGCATGTCAGCTGTCATACTTACATTTTTTTCTTCTTTACCTTAATTTCTATTGTTTTTGTCATCCGGAAAGCTCTGGTATTGTTTACCCGATCTTTCCCTTCCATGGTAATATACATTGACTGTACCTAAAATACATTTTATTTGCAGCAAATCTGTTTTTAGCTATTGTTTGTTCTGCCAATCACTGACTTATAAACCCCACTGAAATTGGCCTCCCTCGGTTAATAATGTTTACTCTGGATTATTCTTTGTTCATAGTCAGCCTAAATCTTACTGTACAATGATCACTGGCCCTTAAATGTTCACCTACTGACACTTCATCCCCTTAGCTCAACTCATTCCCAAAAATCAGATCTGTCTGTGCCCTCTTTAGATTTGGGGTGACAACATATTGCTGTGGAAATGATCCTGAACATAGTGCAGGAATATTTGCCCCTCTGTTCCTTTTACATTATTAGGTTACCATGAAGGTTCCACACTCTCAGCCTTGCCCCTCAGCTGATGTATGGTGACCCTCAGGTTAAACTCATCACCAGTCATCTCAGTCTAATGAGAAAGCAGCCCTATTATGCTCTTAGACAATGGCGACTCTATCTTTACCCAATCTATATACCTAATACTAATAAAGTACAGATAAAAATATTGGAATGTTAACTTGCAAAGTGTCCTTTGGAGATAAACTACAGTCAAAGTATACCCCAAGCAGTAGCTGCTAGAGGTATTTTCACATTTTTTGCTTAACATACACTTAACAGTTGAGCCACATTCCTAAATAAAAAATCACACCGCCTTGTGTACAATGCTGTCACGTGTTTTTTCTTAAATTAAATTATGCATCCCTGATCAATAAATATGTTCAAAGCAACCGTCCTTTTGCCAAATGGAAGCTTCTGATGCAGTTTGTTTGCCATAAGTAGATAGATGCGAAAAAGAAAGGTATATACTGTGAAAACTGGAAACCTGAAATAAAAACAAAACACTCAGCAGGTCAGATTTTTTGACTCTGCAAACAATGCCTGGCTTGCTGAGTGTTCCAGCACTTTCTGTTTCTATATCATTAATTCAAACTGATAAGTATAGTCAAAGAGTGCAAGATACAGGTACAAGAGTCAAAATTCTGCTGTGCACTGAATCTCAAACTGAATATGATGTCAAGGGGCTTGTTATGCAAACTTAGTTACATGTGCAGTGTTCTTTTCATTACACATATCTGAATGGCATAGATGGCAGTGACTTTTTTTCAAACACTGAGTGTTGAAAACTACATTTATCATCTTCATGTCGGTAAAGGAATTCCTTAGCGTGCACTAAATTGAGGTGGGACCTTCTGTCAAGAAAATTTCATGACTCCATACATTTAATGCACTGAGGAGTAAGATCATTAACTTGAGATACAGTGCTAATTTCACACAGATATATCCTTTCAGACTGCTGAATAACTTGTTATTCACTGCTTAAACAAGGAATTTGTAGTCATGTCATGAAGTGTCTTTATGTTACAGCGTGTTAATGGGAAACATATTATAAAGTGCATGTTTTATATTGTGTGCCAAAGGACTGTACTGATCATTATGGATACTTATATTATAGTTGATTCATGCTTTGACAAAAGATGAATTCACCAAAAAGCTTGAAAAAAGCAGTTATATTTTTGTACAATCTCAAATTCAAATCTTTATCAAATATTGAGTTCAGGGTAGACCACATAAATTAATCTGTTAAAATCTGATAATATTGTTGAATTGCAACTACCTGAGAAAAGAATAATATGTCTCGTTTGATACTTTGTTTATTGGAACTGAATATGAATGGTATGAGAGTGTCATTGAATGCAGATAAAACAAACAAACATGTTCATTACGATGATCAATGCAGTCTTGTCCACAAGGGAAAAATAAAGGCTAATGGGTAGATCTTGAATTTGTGAAATGGTGTCAAATGGGTAATAAGGAGTGAACAACCTGTTTTACGTCTGCCCCATTGACTTCAATAGAAATAAAGGTCCACTCCATGTTACCCCTTTTATACACCCATATATGAAGTCAAGATCAACCCTTTAGTTTTGAATTTATTCTAAGGATGGGAGCAATGTAGAGAAGATGGTATTTGTTGCTCACTATGAGCTGTCTTGTGAAATTGCTGACAGTCTTTTTACCTTGAACTAGGACAGCCTTTGATCTTATGGGGCTCTGTTAATGTTGTATGTGAGTTTTCAGGATTACGATTTTAATGTTCACTTCTTGTACCTTCTTTTGTCAGGTTTTACAAGCTACTATTTATTTTCCTTCTTAATTAAATGACTGTGTATCTATAATAGCACAAGGTTATAAAATTGTTCATGGAAATGCTCTGTCAAAAAGTATTTTTCCAGCTTTTCTTTAATTACTGTTGCATTGAAATTTGTGTCCCTTTTTAGTGTCTCACTGGGTAATGTAGAAAGAAAGTCATTCACCTTATTCCAACTATTCACAATATTGACCGTGCTTAAAGGTTTCCTCTTATCAATTGCAACGAGAAAGAGTATTAGCTTCTGAAGTCTCACTGTTTATCTGAAGCTCGACACGATCTTAATGATTCTATACTGCACTGTTTCCATTGCGTTTCTATTATCATATGTTCAAATTATGCCAATACTATCTCGACTGGTAATACTGAATTCGTACAGCTCTTAACTATAATACAACTGAAATATCCGGTCATGAGCACACATATATATATAGTAAATAAAAGTAGCTTCAGCACAAACCCTTAGAGGAGTCATTTAGTTCACCTGGTCGTACTGACCCTAATGTCATTCCTAAGGGACAGAATGTTGCATAGTTCAGTAACTACACCAAAATAAATCAAAACACAAGTTTGAGCTGAAAGAGTTTGTTTGATTTGATGACGGGGTAATTATAAAAGTATTTGCAGGAACCTCACAGGCCACAGCATTACAAATGATTACATTCAGATTAAGCCAGTTCAGGCTCACGCAGTGTGGACTGGGCTGGTGTACTGCAGATCCTCAGATTGGGGCATTTTCCTTTTGTTTATTATCAACAATGTTCCCACATGGGTTTGGATTTTGGGAGGAACAGGCAGTCGCGGTGGGTCTAGTAAATACGTTACATATTGACTAAAAGGAGTTTGACCAGGGTGGGGTGAGAACCCAAACTGCTGATTGATCCCTCAATGCAACAGAAACGGTGGCTTGCACAATACAACACATGTACCTTCACATGTTGTGGACTGCATCTGGACTAAATGGGTCTTCAGTACAACATTTAAAAAGAAAGCGTGAAAAAAAGAAGCACCGCTTTAAATTGTTGAGCACTGGGCCAGGCGTTGAAGAAGCTTAAACTAAAACCCTACCGACTGATTGAAGGAAAATATGGGAAATTACACACTTGATGCAGTTTTAGTTAAATTCCCCGTGTAGTTTTAGATCAAAACCGGGACTGAGCCATCTTGAAAGAGTTGGAAGTAAAAATTAGATGAGTGAGATGATTTTTTTCTACTTTTTTATTATTAATTCCTACTATTCCTCGGGTACCTCGCTATCACAGTCCGGGGCTCGGCTCAGTAAGGGCAGACAGAATACAATCCAACCAACATTCCTCAGAACAGATCCTCTCTCGTCTCAACCCTACCGAGTTCTCTAGCACACGGTTGACAGTCCCTCTTATCTCCCTCCACCACAATATTTTGTATAAATAAACACTGCACCCTGCATGTGAAAGTCTCAAAGGTGCAGTTGATATTTACTGATGGGGAAAAGCAACTTTTTTTTTGTTTTAATCTATGCAGAAAGTAACATGTGCAGATAAAACTTTGTGTGTGTGTGTGTGTTTGGGCGACCCTAGTATATCGTATAGGACCACGCACAAATTGGACTTTTAGATAAAGGCGACTGGAGGAATTTCCCAGCTGAACGAGGCTATCCGCACCTACCTGTCTGCACTGAGCGCTGTCAGGGTGAACACTGACACCCCCACCGAGGTGAGCTGGATGAAGGGGATCAACTTGCAGCCCACCCGGCCGAAGAGCCACTCGGTGGCCACGTACTTGCTGGCGTCCACGGGAGCGCAGGTCAGTAGCAGGAGCAGGTCGCCCAGAGCCAGGCTGGTGATAAAGATGTTCGGCACGTTTCTCATGGACTTCACCGTGCAGAAGATCTTGATGAGGGTCACGTTGCCGACCAGCCCGATCACGATGATGAGCCCGTAGACGGCGGGCACGGCGTACAGAAAGGGCAAACCCGAGCTAGGGTCGGGTTCAGCCTCCGGGCTGCTACCATTGAGCGACTGGGTCAACTCCCAGTTCAACTGTGAGAAGTTGTCTTCAGTCATGGTGCCATTGCGCCCAAGCAATTGCAGAATGGACACAACTTTGCTTCTTTCTCCGCTCTTTATTGTCTCTCTCTCTCTCTCCCTCCTTTCTAGAGAGAGGAGTTTCCCCTTGTCAGCAGCTCCCCTGGGGTTTTCTCACTTCTTTTCTCCCATGGTCTCTTCTCTCTCCGCTTTTTCTTAAAAAAAATGTTTTGCTCTGATCTGTGGGGTCGCGGCAAGATTTAAAGTGCAAACTCTCGGGCCAGCCTTACCGCACTGGCGTCACTTCTGTCTCCGAGTTGTCATTGAGAGCTCCAAATATATATATAAAAAACGCCATCCTGGTACACGGAGCAAACAGCCACCTACTGGAGGAATTAAACTCCGCTTTGTGAGGAAACCTCTCTTGTCTTTCACACACATGCACACAGAGGCTGGATCCTCAGGGCTGCCACGGGCAGGACACAGAAGATTTTATTTTGCAGTACATACCACTCAATAGCAGGAAGACAGCCCTCCCTTCACTCTCCACCACCATTCCTGCAAACTTTCTGTCTTGGTGGCTATTACCCTGGGATTGGGCTGTTTCTGTACCCCTCTCTGAAGAATTATCGATGCGGTATATCCAAGCAGTTGTTACATGTGGTCTGGAAGCGGGGATGCTGGCGGTATCTGAATGCTCCATCTGAGTGTGGGAAATCTCTCTATGCTTTTGCCCACCTGCATCTCTGAAATCTGCTCCAACCCTACAGCCCTCTTGATAAAACGAACCCTTTCCCCCTCCTTTCCTTCATTCCACTATGAGCAGCCGTGTCTTCCACTGCCTAGATCCAGCTTCGGAATTCTCAACATAAACCTCCTCAATTCCCACTTTTTAAAAAGACAATCCTCAAAACTTACCTCTTTGACCAAACTGTGGCCCACCGCAACGAATGTTAAAACTTTATTTGATAACAGTTGAATTACATGGGAGGCGTCGGTATATTAGATCTGTCATTAATTTTTGACGAGGTCAGAAATCACACAACACCAGGTTATAGCGAAATAAACATGTTGGAATATAACCTGGTGTCGTGTGATTTCTGACCTTTTCCACCCCAGTCCAACACCGGCATCTCACGTCATTATTTCTAACGGATATAGAGATGCTTCAGAAAGAAGGTTGAATATCTAAGACAGCACGCTCTTCCTTTTACCTGACCAACTTATTGTGCCGTCTCGAATCAGAGATGATGGCAACGTTGGTTTGGACAGAGGAAACTTAGCTTTCTATGCTTCCACTCCAGCCAATTTCCCCATGATGGCTTTGCCTCTGACCAGCACTTGGTGTAAGGAATTTCCTATGTCTGAATATTGAGTCTTGAAGTTTTTCCCATAGGGGGCCTGAGGAGTGACTAAATGAAATTAACCACCATCTAACTATTGCTGCTGTAAATGAAGCCAGGAGGCAGGGGATCTGGGGAAGGGTTCAAGATAACCTTCAGGCCTTAGAAAACCAGCAGGAGGTATTAGGAAGCTAGGGCTGAGGGCTGGAAGGCTAGGAGTTGAGAGTCATAGGCCAGATGGGAGTGGGGGGGGGAGTAGAAGTGTATAAATGCCATTCAAATTGTTTACTGTCAAGTACACCATGCTAATTGTGCTCCTTCCCAATACTTGGTCCTTCAATCAAGCATAAAGGCTATCCAGGAGTGTAGGAATGCAGTGCGGTCTCCATTTAATCTCAGAACAATTACTGAATTGGATTACACTTGGGGATAATGGGAGGGTCAATGGTTCATTAAGGAGCCCAACTGATATCCACTGACAAAGGCTGAGAATGCTACACCAGCCACTTCCACCCTCTGACTATGGGGAAATTTTGCCATCCCTGGGAGACTGACACAAGGCATCTCCCAGGATGAAATGGGCCTGCTCCCCATGCTTTCTGCTGGAACGAGCTGCATTAAATCCAACCCTCACTATTCCGTTCAGGAGTCTCCAGAGGACATTATTAGTCTCAATAATTATGTAAGTTGATGTTAAAGGCTGGCATTTAATAAAAATTATGGAAAAACTTGATTTTTCTTGAGTTTTGGATTTTTTAACTCAAATTCCAACCTTTTAATCTTTGACATATCGAATCTGAGGAACTGATTTTAATGGTAATTCCAATATTGATAATTCTCCATGTTATTAGGAAGCATTTATAGATCCTGGCACAGCATTGTTAGGAAAAAGAGGATCTTATAATACTCTGTGCCACATGAAGGATCAGCTTATCACCTACTGTGAATTTGATTTTCCATTCTTCACCCATATACACATGTGAGGAGATAGAGAAAAAAATTAGTATGTGTATGTGCATCTGTGTGTGTGTTTGGGTGCTGCAGGAAGGTAAAATAAATTTGAACAAAATAATGGGACTGATAATGCAAAGTTCATTTCACAAAACTTGCACATTGGAAGTCAGCTTATGATATTATCCCTTACATTGTGCATGTAGATATGATTAGCTTTTTACTTGCCCTTTCCTCCCATCCAACCCATCTCCCTAGACAAATAGTTTGATTGTGTCTTTTGCTTCCCAACAGTGTGACAATATATGATCCTCCAGTGGCCCAGTCATTTTTTTACACCGGGCTCCCCCCAGCTTGTTTTCTTAGTTTCAAAGATATGTCTGTAGTTGTTTGCGTATGAGGTGCTGACCCAGTGTCACACTGAGAGATGCTTCCCTTACATGGCCAAATGTCTGATAAGAGCAAATTCCTGGGCAGAAATATTTGTAGCAATGTCATCTTATTTGATTGTCCAATGAAGCTGGTGCAAAAGCAATTTTTGCAGATCACACTTCAAGACATCTTGTTTCAAATCAGAGATATTATGCCTGAAGCCAAAGTACAAGCTGATAATTATGGCTAATCGGAGTTCTGCCACAAAGGCTCTGGAAGGACCATATTCTAATGATGTGCTGCAGTTTGATCAAGCAGCTTTGGTGCACTGTGCAAATGCATGTTGTGGAATTACTTGGAAAAACACCGAATTATGTCAGCTACTTGGCACACTCTTAAATGTTTCCATAAAGTATCGACTTTCAGTGACCAAAATGAATTTATAGGAAACTGTCATCTAGCTGTATGATATTTCCTGCTTTTGCTGAATGTGGTTCTAGTATAAATCTTAAATAAAACTGAGCAAAATCTTTGAGATCTAATAATTATATTTCCTGCAATCTTAGTCCATTTCCTCTTATTTTCCATGCAGCAGTTATTTCTGTAAGTATTGTAAGTAAATTTAAAAATAACTTTCAAAAGCATGGTAAATTCACATAATCTGTGGCCAAGCAATATATATCAAGCAAAGTTGACAATTAAAATCGAATCTGGGCTCAGACAAATGCATATTAAGTATTACATTATTCCTTTATATGTTTCTTCATATTGTGGTATTCATCCTAGGGAGCATAGCATAAATGGTATTATATGCTTGTATAAGAAGTAAGCATCAGAAAAAGCTTTTTAAACCCAACAAGCCCATCACCATTAATAAGATCTAAACTCACTTTTCTGCGTTCTTGCTCTAGAAACACATTTCATTCTTCCTTGAATCCATTCATATATACCTGAATGAATTCCTGCTAACTCATTTATTATATCTGATACCTTTTGGATGAAATATTTTTCCAAGACAATTGTTTTTTGTAGGATTTAATGTCTGGCTCCTGATACCTGTGCCTTTATTAGCACATAATTTTATCATAATACATTCATAATCCAACAATTTAAATTAGACCATATCAATGTTTTATCTTATCTAACAAAACTAAACCAAATTTTTCCAAAATACACCTAAACAACTTGGTTTACTAATTATAGAGTCATAGAGTCATGGAGATATATAACATGAAAACAAACCCTTCGGTCTAACATGTCCATGCCAACCAGATATCCTAAATAAATCTACTCCCATTTGCCAGCATTTGGCCCATATCTCTCTAAACTCTTCCTATTGATATACCCATCAAGATGCTTTTTAAGCTAGGACATTTTTTTTTCGAGACTGAGGGAAGATCTTATAGAAGTGTATAAGGTTATGAGAGGCATGGATTGGGCGAATGCACTCAGTCTTTTTCTCAGCGTTGGGGAATCAATGACGAGGGGGCATTAGTTTAGTCAACAGAAGTGGTTGAGGTGGGTACATTAACAACATCTAAAAGGCATTTGGATGAATGCATGGATGGGAAAGATTTAGAAGGATGTGGGTCAAGTGCAGGGAAATGGGGTTAGTGTGGATGGATATTTTGGTCAGCATGGACCAGTTTGGGCCAAAGGACATGTCTCCGTGCTGTAGGACTCTATGAATATGTTGTATTTGTACCAGCCTCCATCACTGCCTCTGGCAGCTCGTTCCATACACGCACCACACTCTGTGTGAAAAAGTTACCCCTTAGGTCCCTTTTAAATCTTTCCCCCTCACCTTAAATGTATGCCCTCTAGTTTGGCCATCCCCACTCCAGGGAAAAGTCTTTGTCTATTTACCCTATCCATGCCCCTCATGATTTCATAAACCTCTATAAGGTCATTCCTCAGCCTCCAACACTCCAGGGAAAATGGCCCCAATCTATTCAGCCTCTCCCTGTAGCTCAAACCTTCAAACCATGGCAACATCCTTGTAAATCTTTTCTGAACCCTGCAGCTTTCACAACATTCTTCCTGTAGCAGGGAGACCAGAACTGCATGCAGTATTCCAAAAATGGCCTAACCAATGTCCTGTACACCTGCAACATGACCTCCCAACTCCTATACTCAATGCACTGTCCAATAAAGGCAACTATACAAAACACCTTCTTCACTATCCTAGCTACTTGCAACTCCACTTTCAAGGAACTATGAAGCTGCAAAGAGACCTCCATCTGCCACTCCTCGCCCCATTGTCCCATCTGATCAAGGTCCCCTTGTACTCCGAGTTAACCTTCTTTGCTGTCTACTACACCTCCAATTTTAGTGCCATCTGGAAATTTACCAACCATATGTTTACATCAAAGT